ATCATACTTAGTGGCGGGTTATTTTCGCCCTGTCCAAGCAGTGTGCTCGGGGACAGATAAGGTATGTGGTGCGGAGAATCTTTGTGAAATATCAAACGCGCCACATCCTCAAGCACTGTGATCGAATGACCGCAATCGCTTATTCAGTAAGGCTGGGGTCACCTTAGTCACGATTCGTCGCGAATCACCGTGGCCGTTTCACTATGCGCAACCGGAGATCGCGCTCAGTAGGATGCGGTGGGGATGCGACTGTGAGGATAGAAAAACACGTTTACCGGATGATTACTGTTGTCGATGCGTTACCGAAAACACGGTAAACTGAGTGCTGTAATAAAGACTCAAATCTAGGTAAAACCATAGAACTAGGGTCGCTGGATTCCGCACACATCCACACTAGAGTCCAGACCGAAACAAGGACCTAAATGCTGGCTGGAATAAAAAGATCGATAAATCTCAATCCGGTCAGTAAAATCAATCCGGATTCGGTTATAGGACGCTGTCATATGATCAAGACGGTGGTAGATGATCACAGACTCTAAGTCCGGGACTAAGGCCCGATCAGGCTCATTGGATCAGTCTATAATTTGCTCCCGGTGAGACAAACTTCATCAAAGCACATGACAGTTGAACTCTTTCGAAACCCGACATCAAAGAACCGCATTGGAATAGCTCGAATGAAAAAAAAGAAAAGAAACATGGGACACGAAAACATCAAGTGCTCAGTGGCCCCGTGCTGTCAAACTCGCATACACACGGGTGTGCGCGCGCGCACACACACCCTTACCGTTCCGGATTGACCGGGTTCAATTTATCCCGTTGATGCTTGATCATTGTATATCGAGCGATATGGCTCGGATGACGAAACACTTTGTAGCCCCGATGCCGTACACGAAAGTACAGATCATCATCCTCACCACCCCAACCAAAAAACACGTTGGAAAAGCCTCGAATCCGTTCGATTTGTGCACGAGAGAGAGCCACCGCACCACCAAATAGTCCCGGATACATGAGCCTGTAAGGCACAGAGACAGAAAGAGTAAGAGAAACGAATGGATAACACTCAACTGGGATTCAACTCCGGCATCGTTGCACATAATCCCATGAAGCAATCTGAGAAATTTTTCATATCATAAGCCACGAGACGGGGAGTATAATCTATTTCTCCCGGCCAGGATTTTCATATCCTCGTGCCAGGTATAAGCTTGGTCAGTCTTGGCTTTTCCATCCACTAACTGCCTATATATATATATA